CAGCATCCAAGTGGAAATATAGGCTGTCTATCTAGTCAGCACCATGAATAAGCACACAGGACATAAGACTTTTGTCATTAATACAATGCAATGCAACAAACCACGTGACATACCAGGGGTCTAGAAGCATTGAGCCAGTGATAGATTTCCTCATTACGAAACCATGTAAGTTGCCTTTTCGCAAAATTCCTGCATAACAAATTTCCAAAAGCTGAATTTATCTTTACCTCTAGTCTTTTCTTGATTAACCCTTGTTTAACCCATGTTTCAAAATTTGATGGACTTCTTAAGAAGACAAGACAGGCCAAAATTTTCTCAACATATGAACCACCTGACCTTAACCCCATAAACAACAACCCCATAATTAGTAGGTAGCAACTCAGCTGAGCTCTTCATCTTTTTGGTAGGTGAATTCTACACTAGAACTAAAAATGAACACATTACAATAATTTAGGCCAAGTGGGAACTAAACTAAACACCTTTTGATTGATGCACAAATTCAGTAAAGCTTCTTAGTAAGACATTTAGTAGTCAAAACTGACAATGAGGAATTTCTTAATAGAGAGTGTTCAGTAATTAGACTCAATTAATCATACCAACTGAGAACATAAATGGGATATTCAACCTGGCCATAGGAAATTGCATGGGATATAAGTTCCATGAGAACTATTTGACTGCAAAATATGCATCAAGTTGAAAAGGAAATTTTGTTGAATGGAAAGCCAGCAATCTTTCATGGTACCAGGTGTAGGAAAATTGAAAGGCAACATTCATGTTAATGGGATAAATGTTAGCTTAAATATAGGGTTGTTTAGTCATTTAAGAACAGAAAGAATAATAAATAAGATTATTTATAAGGAAATACAAGTCGAACCAACTAAGACCAAATAAAGATAAAAACAACTTAGATGATTTGACAGTCCGCATGCAAATATAGTACTAGAGATGTTTTGGGGAGTGTGTGTCAAGTGTTGTTTGAATCAAGTAGAATAGTGAAAATCACACTAGTTAAATTACTATAATGGGATTCGGGATCAGAAAAGATTAAATAGCCACTTTAACTTGTCCAGATATAGTTCAATGGATTGAGTTGCCAATTGGAAGCAAAATACCTAGAAGCCTTCTGAAACTCTGATAAAAAAGCATGGAACTCTCTTGTTGAGCTTTCACCCCTTTGTTCCCTACATCTTACCAGGTATTCCATAGCCTGAAATCAGCAGACCATTAAAATCAAAGAAGTCACTTTTGCTGCTCAAAAACTGAAAAAGAAAAACATACAAGAGAAAAAAGGGCAAAATCTAGTGAAGAACTAAACAAGTTAGATGCATACCCCAGTAGGATGAAAAGAGAAAAAGTGTTGCAAAAAGGCTTGCCTAGGCAGCACTTAAGCACTAGGTTGCACTCCACCGCCTTGCCTAGGCCCTAGGCAGTGGAGCTAGGCATTGTTTCTACCTTTTAGATTTTCTGTTCTATTTTGGCATTTTTCGCTGAAAAATAAAAATTTCTGGAGCACTTAGCTGCACTTAGCAGCACTTAGGTCTTATACCGTGCCTAAGCACTGCCTTGGCATTAGGCAGTGGCCCAACGCCTTCTGGAACACTGGTATTTACTTAATTCATCAATTGCATTCAATTGCATTAATTACCACGGTCAGCATTTAAATCTGAGAACTGAACTAGAACTTCCCGAAGAAGTTAGACTGACATGGCTAAAAAAGTAACAGTGTTATGATAAGCAGTTGAAGAGGAGACAAAAACTCATCTAAAAATGCATATTTGAAATTAGTCACAAACAGCATTCTGTAGTACCAAACTACACAAAGTTCTATTTACAAATTTCCATGATTTCAATGACCTCTGCTCAACAACAAGAAGCACTGTGTTCAGACTTTATAAAATTTCCTATCCTATATTAATTATTCAAATTATCTCCCATATCCGTGGTGTTTCTTAGCTGATCTCTAACCAGAACATTAATAATATCAAATCTAAAATGAATATGTGATAAAACTTATTCAACCCTCTTACAGTTTTACTTATCATCGTTTTCTCCTTCCTTGAATCACGGCCACAAAAGATATTTCTAAAACTTCATTTAGCATCCTTAAACAGAGTCATGCAATGTCAAAAATCAGGACTATGGAAACCTCAAGCACTAGCATTCTGTAAAGTAGAAGAATATACAAGGAACTATGGAGGTTGACGAAAGTGTTAATAAATTATCTAACTAAACGTAGAAATTAAGAAGTGTGTTCTTTCAAGATGATGTGGTGCATTTATTGGGCTTCTGTTTTTAAAATTTCCCAAATTGTTATTTCATATGATCATAACTAAGGTAATTCAGATGAATTTTATAATAGCCTTAAAAGAGTATTGGAGTATTTACTTTATAAGGGAGTTGACTCGAACAAAGAAACTGAAGCACTTCACAAAAATAAGCATTCTGGGGGATCAAGAAATGAATTTCAAAACTATCCATTGTTTGCATATCCTGGAGATTGATACATAATGAAGAGGAAGCAATAAGGTTAACAAAGACATACATGTCTGTAACCAATTGCTCGAGTTGCTGAGTTTGAATTTGGACTAAGCCCAAGATCAAGAAGCCATCTAGCTTCAGACAAAATCCCATCTGTTCCTACTGCAATCAAAATACAAACATGGCCCACATGAAATATAAGACTAGTAACATATGCAATCATAAAAAACTTACATGCGATGGTGGGATCAATAATCATAGTTGTAAATGTTATGTTAAAAGAGCTCACAAGCTATACAATTAAGTCTCAAGTTACCTGTAAGCATTTCTTCACACCTTAAGTCAATTAATCTATACAGATCAAGTCTGGGGCTTGAGAGGAAAAAACAAATGAACTCATAGTCCAATTCCTTTGCAGTAACTTGCTCAGGTACATCACGAGAAGGGTTCAAGTCGTGAGAATCATTTGTTTCACTTGAATCAACTTGTTGTTTGAAAGAATCATATGGTATATGAAAGGCAGATGGAGGCGATCCAGTGGACTGCCATACCAAGAAATACAATAAAGAAACGTGAGCACATATGATGGAGATGTCTAAGCTATCACTCCTCATACGTGAGTCAAACAGAAGAAAATCTCACCACAATATTTAACTCACTGAACTACAAGACAAAATTATGATGTTTCAGAGAACAAAAAATAAAAAACAAAATAACAAGTTTATTGTTAAATGAAATTTTTCCAAAGCAACATACATGATATGGCCTATATGCAAACATCACCATGCATCTCTGTACTCAAAGGTGTGGGATTGCGAATGGCTGCAAGGATACTAAGACCTTTAGACCATTATTACTGACCTTGATTATCTCAAGGCCGCGACGCAATCGATACCAGTTGTTGACAGGCAATGACCTAGCTTTTGGATGTCCTGCCTTAACGACCATTTCCACAGCAGCATCCCATTCCCCATCTCTCTCAAAATCTGCTATCTCTGCATGCACTTTAGCTGCAATTTCGGTAGAAGCTTCTGGAACATCTGGTTTTCCATATACAAACCTAATAGCAAAAACAAGAGATATCATAGCAAACAACTCCATATATGTTGTTTTACAATAACTCATAAGAAATAAAATTCAACCAGAACATGCCAAGCCAGCCTATAAAATCACAACATGTATTACCACAAGAGAAAATACACTTCACAAAGTATTTAAAGCACAATATGAAGCAATGCTACCCAATTGAGGAAGGCAGGGGCATGGGAGAGAATCAAAAGGAAAATGCAGACTTTGTTGTAAAGAGGTTAGTTTAGAAGAGATCAGGAAGTTATATTGAAGAAAAAGATGAAGCGCTGCAACTTAACAAAGCTCACCTAGGCAAAAGTATATCTAGGAACATACCATCGTAAATACAAGCCAGTTCCGCCTGTGACTATAGGAACGTGGCCACTGTCAAGAACATCTCTTGTTGCTTGCCTAGCATCCTCAAAAAAATGTCCTACAGAATAGTCTGAACTAATAAAAAGAATAAAACTCAGTTTTTAATATTGAAAAATGAAACTTTCAGAAACTTAGGAAGGCAAACGATGTCTACGATAAACAGAATGCATAACATGGTTTATAGACATTTTCTGATGTTACCAGAAACATACCTTCAAATGGATCCAATATGTCTATCAGATGGTGTGGCACTTCCTACAAGAGGATTGAAGTGAAATAGTTAAGGAAGCTATTTATGGGGGGAGAAAAAAAAAAAGAAGAGAGAGAGAGAGAGAGAAAATATATTTTTCAAATTATAGTCCCTGAATAGCTAAAAGTGATACACAGGCAACAAAGAAGCTGACTTCAGTCAAACCCAAACAGCTTATTGACTCAAATGGAAATGGCTTGTTAATCCATAGAATTCTTGCTTAATTTTCATTCATTAGATCATAATAGTGTATTAACAAAGAGTTCTAGAAATTAACAAGCCATTTCCATTAGCTGAAGCCTGAATGCATGAAAATTTATTAGCTGAATAAATTGTTTCTCACCATTCTTGTTATTAGCACCAAGAACAATCAGACCTTTCTAATCCACCAATTGCTTCTAATCAACAGGCTATAGTCATGTAAGTAGAAGGAAAAAAGAAAAAGAAAGAAATTGAAGAGCTAGTATAACCAAAGCCTATTCTGCAGCATACTTTGCTTCTTCAGATAAAAAGAGACTGCCAACTGCCAAAAAAATAAGCTGACTCAGAGAAATAATACATTTGGCTAGAGACCTCAACAGTAATTGGGGTCAAAGACACCTATGAGATGTATGAAAGGAAGATTTATAAATAATTTTAGCATATGTGCAACCTAAGTTCACGACAGCAACCATGCACAATTATGCCCTCAAAGTACTTGGATTTGTTTAAATCTGCAAAAGCCCCCTGTGATACTCAATTACTCGGTTTTAAAATTTGTTGAATTTTTTAATCGAGCCAAACAATTTTTCCACTTTAAGGGCATCAAAATTTCCTCAAGATGTTCTGATTTGATATTGGTCTTCCTTCTTCTATGGACTGACATGTATGCATAATTAATTAATAACACTAGTCATTAAAATATATCTTATGCAGGTACCTTTCTGTCACTCAGGGGAGGCTTTGCAGACCCAATATCAAGACCACGGTAAACCTGCAACAGAAAAACTCGGGAATAAATCCACTGGAGAAAAGATCTCATCACTTATTGTGAATGGCCTGAAGGAAAAAAGACTCATATTGAAACTGGAATCTAGACTTAATGCTTATAATAATTACAAGCTTTCACAAGTCAACTTTCCCAGGAGGCTCTAAAATGAACATGAACATGTTATCCTCAACACGGTTAAGCTTGTTTCTGAACTATTGCAGCCTTCACAAGGTACAAACCCAAATTGCCTTTGGCATCATCAGGGTTAATAACAGAAATGGCAAATGAACAAGCACCAGTAATCTATAGGAACCAGAACATGCGGGTTATCTACAAGTTTCCTACCAGCCATCAACTCTAGTGTATAGGAACACTAGCAACGAACCCATATTAAGAATCATAAGGATACATTTCACCAAATTACCTTTGCTCCTATT